CATGACTTCATCGATCTCAATGTCCCTACAATTACTTAATTCATGGTGACTGTCGGCATTCCTCGAATCCCCAAGTATAATATCCTGATCCCCTTCTTCACTTAGAAGTTTATGAAAGTAGGTCTGCCACCTCCTCTTAATCTGGTCATCTCCCATTAAAAATATTTATATGATAATCTTTATATAATCTGTACATTTTCAAGTTTCACAAAAAGTCGTCATTTCTTCCATCTCCTTACCTCTTATAATTTGTAAAATTTATTTACAATAAATTTTCAAGATATGAAAAATAAATTGCAATCACAAAATAAGAGAAAAATATTTTTACTAACCAATTACGAGTACAATTCTGTTTCTCCCTCGATTCTTTTCTCCTGATTATCTCTGTGATTCGAGGGCTGAAGCATCATATTTCTCGAATGTAGGATGATGCAGATCTCCTGGGGATGTATTTGATCTCCAGCTTCTTGAACTATTTGATTATCATGAAGTATCCGGCCATATTTTGATCTCTTTGTGAATATCCCAAGAGTTTATGTGATTTTTGAGACGCCTCTTCAAGGGAATATATATCCCTTTATTTAGGTATGAGTTAGGGTTTAGCGAAGACTAACTTCCAAGCAGCCCTAATAGACTTCTAGGATTTCAAGAATCTTGTAGTATCTTAAATTTAGGATTTATCTTGATCCGTTAACATTTTGATGTCTACAAATGCCCTCTGCTTCAAGGTTTGTCGGGGTGTAGGCTTGCCGAAACTTGAAGATGAGACTTGAAGTACTTGACCATCGCAATAAATAAATTTTAAAACTTGGAGTTTTTGATTTACAAGAGGAAGAGATAAAGGGTAGAACTGGTCCAACTGGGTGTGCCATAATTTGTAGACAGTAAATTGCATCAAGAAAATAATCGAGACAAAAAAATATTGCAACAATCGTAGTATTTGATTTTAAATAATTTGAGCGTTACAATCTCTATGATTCTTCTAATTCTTTTTTCCAATAGTAAATAAATTCAAGGGCCTTTAAGTTTGATCTTGAATCTATATTTGTTGTCACGGATGATGATCTTGAATTCAACTAGTATGAACTTTGATTTGAACTCGTACTCCTTAAACCTTGATTTGTTCTTCGTTCTTAAGCTTGAACTTGATTTCTTGAACTTGAGCTTGATTGCTTGAAGCTTGAGACTTGCACAGAAATTTATGTCGTGTGATCCACGAGCTCTCTCTTGCTTATTTTTATAACTTATGGTATTTTTTCTAAGTTATAAAGACTCATATTTATAGTTGTGGAAGGGAAGAGTTGCAATGAGACCAAACTCTTTCCGACCAGTCAGATTGAAGCGTGACAAGGCCCAATTTGATTGGATAGAATATGTCACTTGCACATGTGGCGCGATTTCATTGGCCTTTTAATTTGAC